AGATATAAGGAAGAAATTTTTGATGCTGAGGGTGGTGAAACACTGGCACAGGTTGCCCAGAGAGGTGGTGGATGCCCCATCCCTGGAAACGTTCAAGGTCAGGTTGGACGGGGCCCTGAGCAACCTGATCTAGTTGAAGATGTCCCTGCTTATTGCAGGTGGGTTGGACTAGATGACCTTTAGAGGTCCCTTCCAACCCAAACCATTCTATGATTCTCATGTTATAGTCTGTATTAGAGTAAATAGCAGGTTGTAGCTGTATTTAGTGTAAAAAGGTTACCGTAATAAAGCCACTTAGTCTTTGAGGTTTTTTTTATTTGTAGGCTTAAACTTTGTAGCAGTTTATTGGAAGGACATCAGTCAGAATACCCTGAAAGGGGATGGGGAAGTGCAAGTGCTGAAGATAGAATAATGAGGAAAAAAATTTAAATACCAAGGTGAGTTCATGGTGACTACTTATTTTACTTACTTTGTTTCAGTAGCCCATATGCAGTATCATTCTACAGAATCCAACTGTTCAGTTCAAGCAGATCAATTTCTCTTTTTATTCCTTTATTATATTAGTATTTTATCCCATCGTCTTGTATTTAATGCAGCACTTTAATTAAAAGATCTAATACTTCAGACTTAGTAAATTGAAATATTTACATGTTCAGCCAGAAAACATGTGTTTTATCACCCAAATGAAAAGTGCCAGGTTTTTTAATTATTTTTCTAGCAGCTTTTCTGCCTTTTAATATTTTTGTGATGAAGTCACAGCTTTGCATTTGCAGCAGTAGATTTCAATGAAAATTCTCTCTTGGACTTTAGATTCCTGTGGTGTATTAACAGGATGGGTAGTATCTTGAGTCAAACAGCTTTTATTAGCAGATAGTCTTTTGTGTAATTTCATTATCTTTGATCTGCATTTAATGCAGGCTCTGAAATATTATGGACTAGGATATAAATGTCTTTTTAACAGTGATTTTGGAATATTTTGCATAATAAAACTCATTAACAATATGGCACACAATCAGTTTTACACTATTAAGATTTGAATTCTAGCAATATCGGGAAAAGGCAGGTAGAGCTTTTAAAAAAATTGTGCTAATGGTTTTTTTCCTATTGATTTTATTGATTTTTTTTTTTTTTAATTTAAAATCTTTGAGTATGAACAAGACAATATGGATTCACTTTTCTAAAGTGCTAATTCAATACTTGAAAATATCTAGTCTCTCTTTGTATATAGAAGTACCGAAGAAGGACGACTTTCTCCTGTGACAGAAAATGATTTGAAGAATAGGGATATAGTCTGAGATCATCCTTGGAAAACTGGTGCAGTCGCATAAGATCTGCACTGAAAGAGGAAGAGATTTACAGTCAGCATATGTGCAATCGACATAAGGTGAAATATGCAGGTAAAAGAAGCATGCCTCTGTACATCACAGTTAAGAGAGCCTTTCTCATTGTACTGGGCTCAGTGTTGGGGCCAGTTCTGTTCAATATCTATTAATAATATTTATTAATGATCTGGATGAGGGGATCGAGTGCACCCTCAGTAAGTTTGCAGACGACACCAAGTTGGGCGGGAGTGTTGATCTGCTTGAGGGTAGGAGGGCTCTGCAGGGGGACCTGGACAGGCTGGATCGATGGGCCGAGGCCAACTGGATGAGGTTCAACAAGGCCAAGTGCCGGGTCCTGCACTGGTGAGGCCGCACCTCGAATACTGTGTTCAGTTTTGGGCCCCTCACTGCAAGAAGGACGTTGAGGTGCTGGAGCGTGTCCAGAGAAGGGCAACGAGGCTGGTGAGGGGCCTGGAGAACAAGTGTTATGAGGAGCGGCTGAGGGAACTGGGGTTGTTTAGCCTGGA